AAGAAGAAGAACATTTAATGATGATAATAATAATAATACAAATTTTTATTTAGCAAATTTTATGTTTTCGCGTGTGTGTGTTTGTCGTCGAGTCGTAAAAAAATTTTTTTTTTGATTTCTGTTGTTGTGTTTGTGTTTGTTGTTGTTGTTTTCGTCGACGTTATGATTGCGGTTGTTGTTGAGGTTTGTGAACCGGATAAAGTTTTAATTTTTTATTTTGTTTGTTTGTTTGTTGGTTGGTTTGTTGATGTCGCGTCACGTCATTCGTTTCATTTATTTATTGCCAAAATATTAAATTTATTTTATTTTTCCTACTACTCTGTTGCTGTTGTGCTGACGTCACGTAAAAGAAAACTTCCACGAATTTGTGATCGATATCATTCGACGATCTGGTGACACGTTTTTTTTTTTTTTTTTCATTCTCACATCCCGTTGGAATGTTTATTGGAATGTTTCAGCTAGTTTTTCTAACTCGTCATCATCATTATCGTCTTTCGATTAATATTAAAAACTTGAGTGTGTGTGTGTCTCTCTCTCTCTTTCTTTCTCTCTCTCTTTCTTTCTCTCTCTCTTTTTACTCCTAATAAGAGTTTTCGTCAAGTTGTAAATTTGCCTTTGGCGAATTTTTTTTGTTGTTGTTAAGGAGCAAAGATTTATTGACTTGACCCAGGTCTTCTTTTTTTGTGTGTTCGATTTGTTATTTGATTTCGAGTTTTTTGCAACTCGTTATTACAAACGACGACAACAACCACAACAACAACAACAACAACATTTTATCACGTTCGATTTTATTTTTTATTTCCTTTCTGCGTGCGTGTGTGCGTGTACGTGCGTGGTCGCGTTTTATTTTATTTTTTTTTTCGAGATCGATTTCAGTGACGTCATTTAAATTTTCTTTAATTTTTTTTATTTATTCTCAACCGGAAATACAAAATAAATAAATAGATATTCGTGTGCCAAAAGTATGCTTGTGCAAGTTGTAGAAATTTTAAATTAAAAAAATTCGATATTCATTAATAATAATAATAATAATAATAATATGAAACCGTTTTGTAACGTACGGAAAACCGTTACGTCACTGAATCAGCATCATCACTCGTTTTCTTTTTCTAACACTCGCGATTTATTATTATTATTATTATTATTAATAATCTCGAACAATAATTCACCTACTATTAAGTGTCGGTGTTCTTAGAAAAAAAGGCGCCATCTTTTCTTTTTTGCAATATAAACGAAATTTTTTTTTTTATTCATTTCTCTATAAGAGACAAACTGAAAGATGAATACACAAAGAGAGAGAGAGAGAGAGATGATGATGACGACGTACAGACAGACAAACAGTCGAACAGACAGGCAAGCAGGCAGAATGATGATGATGATGATGATGATGATGGAATAGAAAGAAAGAAAGAAAGAAATTTTTTTTTTTTGTAAATTTTATCCAATCTTCTGCTTCCACGACACTTTTTTTTTTTTTTAATTCGATATATATTTCAAACGAATATACATTTAAACAAAAATTTCTTTTCTTTTTTTTTCCGAATCATCATCATCCATCCATTCATCCTCTTTCTCTTTCACTCCTATTATCATCATCATCATCATCATTATTATTATTATTATTATTATCACACCCGACGTATATATATTTTGTTTTCTTTTTTTTTGTTCGAGTGTTTCACTTTAAAAAAAAAAAAAAAAATCCGACAGACCGAATGTTGTTTATTTTCGACATTTTTTTCACGATTGTTTTTTTATTGTTAATGCCACGACGAAATCATTATTTATTTATTTATTATCATCATTATTATTATTTCTTTTTATTTTTCGCGACGTAACGAAAATAACAATCCGCGCCCAAAAAAAAAAAAAAAAAAAATTATATTCAAAGTGAATGAAACTATTATTACAACAACAACAACAACAAAATTTGTGTTCGCCATTAATTATTATTATTATTATTATTAAGATTTTTCATTCGAGAAATGATAAAATGGCGGATCTATTTGAATGCAAACAATGTTTTAAATTCATTTAATAAAAATAATGATAAATTTTTTTAAGAAGAGACAGAGAGAGAGGCAGAGAGAGAGTGAATGAAAAGGATAATATTAATGCCACCGCAACCGACATCATCGACACCATCGACACCATCGGCAAACTAAACCTCGAACAAACCGAACAAACAACAACAACAACAACCACGACTACGACTACGACGAGAACAATACAAACAATTAAGAAAAAATTACTTTGATTAATTGCTTAATTATTTATCGCGCGAATTTATTACTTTTAAATTCTACTACTGCCACTACTACTACTACTACCACAACTACTACTACTCCTACTACTGCCACTACCACCACAACTACTACTACTACCTTTATTATCATTATCATTATTATTATTATCATTATCATTATCATTTAAACTCAATATATTATATATCGTTTACAACGAATCGAATTTCCGGTAGATTCCAATAACATTTCCAGTAGATTTTCAATGGGGGAAAAAAAGAAAAAGAAGAAAATGAGAAAAAAAGGAGAAAATTAACGGGAAAATTCTTTTTTTTTTTTTTTTAATAAAAATTTGCAAATTCAAAATGGCGTCGACGTCGTCGTCGTCGTCGTCGTACGTCATCGACGAATAACGAAAAAAAATTTTTAACAAACGCACATGTACGAAACGAATAAATTTAAATTTAGAAATTTAGAAATTTCTTATTTTTTTTTTTTTTACTTCCCTTTTTTTTCTACTTCTTCTTCTTCTTATTATTATTAATCTTTATAAATAAAAAATAAAAAAATTTCTTCTGCTTTAAAAAAAAAAATTAATAATTTAAATAATGATGATAATAATAATAATTAATTTATTAAAAATGCATCACGAATGCGCAGTTTTTTGTTTTTTTTTTTTTTTAAATGGAAAATTTATCGTAACGTTTTGTAACGGAGGGTTCCGGAAAACACAAAAAGAAATATTTTTTTGTCTAATTACACGTGTAAATTTCAATCGAAAAATATTTTCGGATAAAAAAAAAAAGAAAAAACGAAGAAGTTAATTCCACGACTCTCTCTCTCTCAAAAAAAAAAAAAAAAGAATAAATAATTTATTTTATTTTTTTTTTATTTTTTCAAAGCGTAGGTTAAGTACCGTTAAAATCATAATAATAATAATAATAATAATAATAATTGAATGGATTTGTTTTCTGCTATAAAAAAAAAAGCATCGGAAACCCGGGAAGAGAGGGAGTGGGGGGAAAAGAGGGGAGGAGAGTGTAAAAATCACAATTTTTGTAAAACGATATTTTGTTTTTTCCCGGCCAACAGATGTGAATGATTGATTAAAAAAAAAAAAACAAAACCGGAAATGTCCGTGAGTTCGAATGATTCAAACGGATTCCGCGGTAAAGATTTTTATAAAAGAAAAGAATCAAAATCGAGTTGTCCGATATTAAGATGCGACGGTTGCGACGACGGAAATGACGACGACGACGATGAAAAAACGGCAATGAAAGATGAAAAAAGTTCTTTGTTTAAAAATTTTGGATCCGTTGCGGCAAGAGCACAGGCATGGGAAAAGTAAGTGTTACAATTTTTTACGTGGCATTAGACTAACCGCAAAAATGATAATTTTTTTTTTTACCTCGAAATTTTTTAAATTCACACGATATTTATTTCTCAACTGAAAATTTCTTTTTTTTTTTTTTTTTAAATTTCCGCGAGCTATAAATAGCAGAAGAATTTCTAGTTTTTTTTTTTTTTTTTTTTTTTTTTATTTCTTCTGCTTCTTCTTATTTTAACCAACGACAAACGGAAAACAAACTGAAAAACTAACCTTTTGAAAATTTATTAACTGATTATTGTTAATGACACGTCGATTCCCGTTTTTTTTTTTTTTAAATTAGATTTTATTAAGCAATAAATTCCACGTTCGTCGTAACCAAACGTATTATCATTATTATTTTGCTTTCATTAAAAATTACCATCGTCAAGTGATGATTCATTTCGAAAGTGGCAGAAGAAAATATTAACAAAAAAAACCCAAAAGATTCGCGTCACTTCCGACGACGAGTCAACGACAAGAACAAAACAAAAACAAAAAAAAATTCGCACGCAATCTCGTGCCACGTTCGAAATGATTGTTTATTTATTTAGGGTTTGGAGTTGATTGTTTGGCAGTTGATTGATCGATTCATTCACTCATTCACTGACTGACAAGTGTAAGAAAGAAGAAGAAAGAAAAAAAAAATTTTTTTTTTCTTTTCTTTTTCTTTCACTATAACCAAATCGAACTCGATAAAAAAAAAAAACAAAAAAAACAAAAAAAAAAAAACAAAACAAAAAACGTATTGAATCCGTGCAGAGTTTTTTGTCGTCCGGAAGTAGTTGTTCTTTCTTTTATTGTTTTAAGATGTTGTTCGTTTGTTTGGTTTGAACAACAAAGACAAACAAAATTCGAATCGAAGAGAAAAGTCATTAACATAGCAGCTGTCATTTTGTTATGCCAGATGATTTATATCGTTGAATATTAAATCTGACTCTGAATCGAGCGGTCTAAAAATATTTGTAAACAAAATTTTTTTTTTTTTTTTTAAATATAGATCTACCTCAACGGCAGGTTATGTGACTATCGGATCCGTTCGATATGGCGTTCGCTTTTCTCCGTCGTCACCCGATGAAAATACTTCTCCCTCTCGCGGTTCGATTCCAAACGATGGGGATTCAATTGAAATTGATCACTGTTGCGACGTAATGCAGATGGCGTGGCCCCGTACGACTCGGGGATCTTCTCTTCCGCCTTCTAAGATCCCTCTCCCGAACGCGAACGAAAAAGTGCAGGCTAATAATAAACGCGGCGGCGGCGGTGGTAAGGCCGGCGAAGAGAGAGCGACGGCGCCAGTATACCGCAGTGTTTCCGAGGTGTCACGGCCGAAAAGGATTCCCGTGAGCAGCTGTTTTGCGGTCGAGAGTGACGAATCAAACAACATTGGGGACATGAAAGCAACGAGTCCCCAAACGCCGAATTCCTCTCGTCGACCTCTTTTTGCCAAAGCCAATTTTAAATTCGGTGGTAATGCTCCAACTCCTTCTTCATCTTCGTCCTCCGAAGATAAGGACACGTCGAGATTGATACCGGGTACGAAAGATGATAATTCAACGTCCGGAAATCAATTTCAAATCACTTTGGATAAATTACAAAAGTTCAGGTTCGGAGGGAATAACGATAAATCCGCGGCATCCGGTGCGGTGCAAAAAAAGAAAAAAATCAGTGACAAAACGGAAAGATTACGAGAATTGACGGATAAACTCCTTCACAGTCGTGGTCCTAGTGCGGGAAGTGGTGATAAAAAGAAACCGCCGACGTGCAATTCTTCATCTAGTTCTCCGTCGAAATCTATTAGCGGCAAACAAACGGGAGGCCCCAGTTTAAGAAACTTTTTCGGTAGTACAACTAGTTTGACGGGTTTTCAATCGAAATCCGGAGGTCCCAAACGGGAAGCATCCATTCGGAGCGTGGATTCGGGACCCGCGACACAATCGCCGAAAGATTTCGATGTGAAAAGTGACGAGTGTAAAACATTATCGGACGATGATAAATTCGATTGTAACATACCCAAACCGAAAAAAACTCATTCTAAACCCACCATATCCGGTATCGCTGGTTACGCTCAACGCATCAACGCCTTTCGCAGCGCTTCCTTCTCTCAGGTTGATTATGACACCGCGGACGGGAAATACACGAGAACGCTACGTAAAAACGGAAACGAATCCAAACCCGGTATTCCATCGTTCGGTTGTGTCACATTCCCAAGAGTGAAACAAGTGGACGCTTCAACATCCGTGAGTCCGCCACCGGATAAAGTTACCGAAAATGCCGGATCGACTCCAAGCGTGGATTCGGCTGTTGGTTCGGACGAAGGTTTCGTCATCGGATCATCCAACAATTTGATACTCATATCGGAGGGACACAAACCCTCCGGCGGTTCGAGATCTTTAACTTATCCTTTTACAAAAAAATTATCTAAATCCGATGAAATACCATTTTCTTCCATCGACGGAAACGGTTTGAAAAGCCTTCATCAATGTTCGTTGAACAGAGAACTTTCCGATGTGAAAGAAGAAGTTAGCGTGTCTTCGGAAACTCCAACCATCGGTGGTGGTGACACTCTTAGCGTGGGTTCGAACGAAACGGTCCGAGAGTTTCACGAAAAAACTTGTGATAATAGTTTAAATAATAGTGCAAATAACAGTCCGAATCCGAGAGTGAGTCCGAATTCTGAAAAAACCGTTTATCAATGCATGGTCAAAGAATATCCTATGATTGTTTCCACGACGGAAATACCCGTCGATAATTCAAAATCCGTACCCGACAAAAACGAAACGTTAGAAACATTGGAAACGTTGGAAAGAGAAATAAACGAATTAATAATACAGCAAAAGGGTAGCGGGACATCACCGAAACCGGAAATATACGTGACGACGTGGCCGAAAGAATCGGATGTTGTCAGAGACAACGATTCGGACGCGTCGGAAAAATCAAAAACGGAAACGAAGAAAAAAAATGAAAATGATGATAATAATTTTTCGGAAAAAGAAAAAGGCGAAGATGATGACAACAATAAAAACGATAACAAATCGAAAGAATCCGAAACGGAGGAGAGTAAAAAAATTGATAAAAGATGGTCTAGCGACACGTCGAACGATGGTAGCAGCGAACCCGTGAGCGTGGAAGAAAATTATTTTAAAAATCAATGGACGAAAAATGTTGAAAAACCCAAATTAACGTGTCAGAGTTCCGACGAAAGAGATGACGACGTGTCGGCAAACTACAGACGATATCATTTGCTAAGCCGAAACGACTCGTTATCGGAGGGAGACAGCGATCAAGGTGAAAGAAGGCCTTCGACACCGATGAGAGACAGAGAAAGAACTTGTTCACCTTCACCTTACGCTCACAATTACGATTTATCATCGGACAACGAAAGCAAAAATGGAAGATGTTCACACGGCCCGAGGCGATATTCCAAAAGGCCCTTAAGGGGACCCTACGGTCAAATGTTGGAAGCAGAAATGAAAAAACCCGAAACGACTCGTTTGTTGTCCAAAAAACAATTTTCGGACGATTTGAAATTTTTAGAAGAATACATTCATCCACTTCCCGAGGGTAGAGTTCATTCGAACGAGAATACCAGGCCCTCGTCGGAATCAAGGTTGACGTGTCCACGTCCGAGATTCAACGCGGGTCGTTCCTTTGACGATTCACAATTACAAAACGTTTACAACACGGATCCCAGATCCCCGAGTAAACGTAAAGCAAGTTCGACTCTTCCCTTTCCCAACGGTGATGATGCTCAAAAGGATACCCTAGTAGTGTGCCATCAAAGAACCACATCTAGTCCATCTCAATTGGAAAATTTTTCGTCAGGAAATTCGTCTACGTCTGTATCGACGTCGACGTCGGCGACGACACCGACGACACCGACGACAACAACGACAACGTCATCAGACGTAATAAAAGGAAATCCTCAACCGAGTCAAGAATTATTAGCAGCTCTACTTAAGGGTAGTTCGGAAAGACGATACGTCACGGAAGATAATCCATTGGGAAATGCTCAAAATTCAAAGGTAAGACTCACTTTTTTCTTCCTTTTTCTTATTTTCAATGGAAATTAACAAAAAAAAAAAAAATTTCTTGGAACGTGTAACGTATAAAGTCACGAATAAAATATTTAAATAAAAAAAAAAAAAAAACCAAATTTAAATTTTCAATAACAAAACAAAAATGGCGGCGGACGTAGAAAGAAAAAAAAAAAAAAAAACTCTGACATTTACCAACCCACGCGACACACACACACACACACACACACACACACACACACACACACTTCGACGCAAAAAAAAAAAAAAAAAAAAAAAAAAAAACGTTTTACTAATTATTTTTATCCATGTTTTATTTCTCTCTTTCTCTTTCTTTCTCTTCTTTCTTTCTTTCTCTTCTTTTTTTCGTTTTTAAAATTTTTCCCGCGTAAAAATAAAGAAAAAATCGATTTTCGACTGCATCATTCGATAGATTTTTTTCTTTTTACGCCATCTTACATGTTTATCCACTAAATAACAAAATGAAATAATGTTGGCAACAATGATCGCATAATAAAATGTCGTTTAAAAAAAAAAATTCCCTTTAAAACCACATCCAATACCTAAACACACACACACGTATCTAATACGAATAAATAATAATTATGCGAAGCGGGGAAATTTTTTCCCTGCAAAAAAGGGAAATTTTTTTTATTATTTTCATATCGTTGGGAATTTTTTTTTCTTTTTTTTTTCATTTAAAATTATAAAAACACGAACGAACGAACGAACGAATGTCGATCCAAGAAGCCAAATTCAACTTGGCAACTTTTTTTTTTTTTCAAAAAAAAAAAAATTCTATTTCTGTAATGGCTACCATCATTATAAAAAAAAATTTTTTTTTTTCCTACTCGAAAAAAAAAAAAAAAAATAATGCGTAAAAAAAATAATAATAATAATAATAATAATAATAATAAATGTAAATTATTTATATTTATATTTATATATATATAAAAAAATTTTCGGTTCGTTTTTTTTTTTTTTTTTTTTTCCTACGGCCGAACTTGAATAGTTTTTTTGGATTCGATTCAAAAATTTTTTTTTTTTTTTTAATGGCGAAGAATTTTCGGTAAAAAGTGAATTAAAAAGAATTTAAATCATTTTCAAATCCGAGCGTAAATATTTTCATTACTAATAATAATAATAATAATAATAATAATAATAATAATAATAATAATAACGTTTTGGTTATTGTTATTATTATTATTTGTTCTTGTATTAATAATTGATTACGTGTTCCTTTCCCCCTGCCCCATCTCTCTCTGTATCTCTCTTTTTCTCTTCCTCTTTTTTTCTCTGTTGCCCACAATACCTGTTTTCATTCTTTATTTCTCTCTCTCTCTCTCTCTCTCTCTCTAACTCACAATCTCTGTATTCTCTTTCTATCCATCTCTTTCTTTCTCTCTCCTTGTCTTTAAAACCTTTCTATTCTCTTAATATGCTCCTCTTTCTCTCTCTCTCACAACCTTTTTAATCCACTTTCTATGTTCTTCCCTCTCTCTCTCTCTTTCAGTCGCTCCCAATACCTATCTTTCACTCGCTCGTCCTGTCTTTTTTTCTCTCCCTTTATCATTCATTCTCTTTTTCTCTCTCCTCGTCAACAAGACTTTCTCTCTGTAGGTCTCAGTATTTTTCTGTCTCTGTCGTTCTCACTACCCATTTCATACTCTTTCTCTCTTCTCTGTCTTTCCCTTTACCTATTCACATTACTATCATTTTCTCTCACTCACTCCCTCCCCTTCTTTCTCTCTTTCTCTCTGTCTCACAACCTTTCTATTTTTTTTTTATGTCGCTTTCACTACCTGTTTCATACTCTCTCTGTCTTTTTCATTCCCATTATCTCTCTCTTTTTCTCCCACTTCCTTTTTACCTCTCTCTCTCTCTCTCATTACCTTCTCGTAATTCAATCGTAAGAGAAACAGAAACAGAAAGAAAAAAAGAAAACACGAAACTAAAAATTTTCCAATGTTAAAAAACACAAACAAAAATATTCGGCCGCCATTTTTCTTTTTTTTTTTTCGATTGCATTTATTTAGGTGACCTCATTTCCCCTCCTCCTTTTCCTCCCTCCTCTCCTCTCCTACCCACCCGTTAAATTAACGCGAGAAAAAGAAAAAAAACTAATCATTGACTCACGCGTGGGTGTGAAATAATAAAATAAAGAATGATTGATTGATTGATTGATTGATTGACTGTGAATGAATGAATGAATTTTTTTCAAAAAAAAAATCTTATTGGGAAAATTAAAAAAAAAAAAGAACAAATTTTTTTTTTATTTTTCGTGTCATTATCGTGAATTTTTTTTTTTTTTAATTACGTTTACTACATTTACTAATGCCACGACTTTTTTATTTATTTATTTATTTATCGAGTTTTTTTTTTTTTTTTATAATTTCGAACATGTAGTAGTATTATTGACATTTCAAAGATCGTGGGAGCCATTTTTTTTTTTTTTTTTGGCATGGATTTCTATTTTATTTTTCTCTCCCTCTCCTCCTCCTCTCCCCTTCCCCTCTCTCTCTTTCCCTCCTTCTCAATTTCGATTTCTTCTCGAAGACGAGTATAATAAAAAACTAAAGAAAATTATTTCATCATTTCGTTCATTAAAAAATCACTCATTTATAAAAGATAATATAATCAACAACAACAACAAATTTTATAATTTAATATTTTCTGGCGCCACGTTTACATAATTACGATCGGTAATTGATATGCTAATCGAATTTGAAAAGAAATTTTTACGTAACATTTGAAATTTTTTTTTAAAAAACTTTAACGAAAAAAAACAAAAAAAAAAGCAGAAGAAGACGATAAAAGAACAAAGAAAAATTTAAGAAAAAAATTGACGTGTCATTTGATACGTGTATAAACGATTATATATAAATATGATTATTTTTTTCCATTCGATTATAATAATTCTTTTGCTAATCCCACGTTTATATTTATTAAAAAAATTTTTATAAATTTTATAAGACATCGATTGCAGTTGCATCGGTCGGTTGTTGTTTTAACTTGTCGTAATCGTGTCTGTTTGTATAAAATATTTAAAATTTTAACTATCCGATTCCGCCATTTTTGTTCATTTATTTTTTCCCGCCAAAAAAAAATTTAAAAAAAAAACGTTCAATTATTTTATTAAACGTAAAAATTTTTAATGAATTTTTTTAAAGTTTATGATTTTAATCGTTGACTAATAATATAATGTTGGACTAAATTTCAAATTCGACGTGGTTGTAGAAAGAAAAAAAAAACATTGTATCGCTTTTTCCCCCGCTTTTTCCCGCTTTTTTCCCTCCCGTGATTTTACTTTCATTAAATTTTTTTTCGTCACTTTTTTGAAAACTTTTAAAAAATTTTATTTACCGCCATTTTTATAAAACATTGGCAAAAAAAACAAACAAATTCCAAATCGTCGAATTCGAAAATTTTTACTTGTCGTACAGTGACGACCTTTCACACTTTGGAAACACGCGTAAATTATCATTATTATTTTTAATTTTTTATTTTTTTATTGGTTTTATCGTGGCACTATAAAAGATGTTAACAAAGAACGAAACGATGGCGGCGGCGGTGGTGGTAGTGGTAATTGTTGGTGGTTGTTGGGGGTTGTTACTATATATCCCTCGAAAATCAAAATGATTCCAGAAATCATTTTTTCTTTTTTTTAAATTCAAAAAAAAAAAAAAACTTTTTTTGTCTGCTAATTTTCCATTTTCCATTATGTTTACATAAAAAAACAAACAAACATCCGACGCATTAACAACAACAACAACAAAAAAAACAACAACAAGAAATGTAAAAGAAAATCAAAATTTTTTTAACGAATTAAAAAAATAAAAAAAACCAAAATTTTTTTTTCGGACCAAAATTTTCCTTTTTTTTTTTTTTTTGCGAGTGACAAAATTACAAGTTTGAAAAACCGAAAGTAAAAAAGAAAAAGAGAGAGAGAAAAAATGGAAGAACCCGGAGAAATGACGGAAGATGAAATGGAAGCGGAAGAATTTGTCAATAATAATGAAGAGGGTGGGGGAAAAGCCAATCAACCCGACATTAGAGTTAAAGAAATGTACGATGCGGAAGAAATGGACGATACCGAAGATGGTGAAGAAATGGAAGATATGGGATACGAACCCATTGGAAAAGGAGGAAAAGAACACGGAGGAAAAGAACACGGAGGAGAAGAACATGGAGGAGAAGAAGGTTACGATGAATTCGAAGAAGACATTCCAGTCACGGATTCACAGATAATGATACAACTTAAAGAAGCGGAAGAAGAAGCCAAAGAATTAAAAAGGGAAATCGGAGAAATTAAAAAGAAAATTGCGGAATATCAATGCAAGGAAGTCATAACGAACGATGATAAGGCAAAGATACAAAATTTACAACAAACCCTCATGGAGAAAACCGCACTCCTCGACGAACTTATAAAAAGGATAGCCAAATTGATGGAAATGGCGGGAAAGGGTTCGCTAGGTGAAGAAACGACCGTTTTGGATGAAGACGAAGAAGAGGATAATTTTCCCGACGATTTGTTACCGAGAGTCGTGATATGCAGTTCATGGGATGACATGATGCCCAAAGTTGTCGTTTGCATGGATATGAAAAAACCGAATGCGAATAAGAGAACGGATTCCGACAGAGACGAAAACGGTTTGACGCCGGAACAAAGAGAAGAATTAGAAAAGGAACGTAGGTGCATGGCGGAAGAGAGGAATCGATTGCAGTATCAAATAGCTTGCATGGAGGGAGAAATGAGAGTCATGATGAGAGAAAACGACATGTTGAGTAAAAAAGTGGCTCATTTGAAATCGGAATTGGAAAATACACCCCCGTTCGAATTTGAAATGTCCGTTTCGGCGACGAAAACACCCGGAACGGGATGTCCGAAACACGGTAATCCGGAATCCGGTTACGCCGTCATGGGTCCTCCGTCTAGTTACACGGCAACCGGAGCCGTACCACCCGGACACGAAATGCAAGGAAAATTTGCCGTCGCTGGAGCACCGCAACAACTTCCTCCAGGTTTTCCAATAAGTACCTATCAAGCGATGCATCACAATGCGCCGATGCAATCGAATAAAACGGCAGCGTCGTCTCAACCTCCAGGACCGGGACAATTACCGTGCGGTGGAATGACTGGAATCGCGGGTAAAACCGTACCATGTTCGAAATTGCAACCGACGGAACCCCTCATGACGAATCCGAACGATTGGTCGGCCATGATGCCACCATACGGTAAAAAATGTCGAAAAGATTTCAACAACGCTCAACAAACGACCGGAAAAGGTTGCGAATTTTGTCAAATGTGTTCTCAAGGTGGAGGTTGTGGAGCTTGTTGTGGCGGTGGCGGCGGTTGCGCCGGAGGAAGCGGAGGGAATTATTACAGCAATTTAGGTGGTGGAATAGCACCCCCGTCTCCCTACGCGGGAATACAGGGTAACATGATCAAACCGGCACCGGTCGACGTGAGTTTTAAAGTTAACGTACAACCCCAGGGCGGAAATTGCGACAACAATTACAACAACATTAACAACGTAAACAAACAATCATTTGATGATCCCAACAACCGAAGCAATAAAATAGCACAACAATTACAAGAAATTGAAGTCGAACTACGAAGAATGCAAAGGGATTTGTGTAAAGCGAAAAACGACAAAGAAACATTAAAAGCTCAACAAGCAACTTTAAACTGTGCTAAAAATTTTCTCATTTGATTTTTTCTTTCTTGTTCGTATGTTTGTTTGTTTTGTTCCATTGCTTGCTTGTTTGTTTGTTTGTTCGTTCGTTCTCTCATTCGAATACTTTTTTTTTTTTCTGTTTCGTTTTAATCCAAAAAAAAACAACAAAAAAACTAAAAAAAACAATAATAATAATACTTTCAACAATTTAAATCCAATTTTTCACAAATTATTTTACCCAAATTTCCGGTTTTCTTTCTTCCGCCTTCCCCTTCTTTATTACCGTGACTTTACACTCCTCTCCCCTATCTTTCACATCCCCCCCCCCATCATTATTATTACGAATAAATTTGTATCGTCTAAAGACACGACGTTATTACTCTATGACTTTTTTTAAATAATATTTACTCGATTTTAATTTCGAAAAAATTTACGCGCCATTTTCGATATATAGAAAGCAGAAACCTCGAAGAAATCTAAAGTCACGTCAAAATTTTACATAATTATTTCCACGTAAGAAACAAAAATTATTATTATTATTATTATTATTATTACTTAATTTACGTAACTTTTTTCTTAAGAATTTAAATTTTTATTTACGTATTTTTTATTTTTTTTTCAAATATAAACAAACGACGAAAACGCGTTCTTTATTCGTAGTAATAATAATAATAATAATTTCGAACGCAAATTAATAGCAATAATAATAATAATAATGATAATAAGTTTTTTATTTCTTATTTTTTTATTTTTATAACCGTCAATAAAATTTATTGAATTAGTTATTTGGCGTTTAATGGCGTCGTTTTATTATTTTTTAACCCGTTAATAATAATAATAATAATAATAATAATTTTTTTTATTCTTCAGGTTTTCCCTCTCTTTCTCTCTCTCTCTCTCTCAATTTTATATTTATTATTATTATTATTATTATTAGTAAAACGACTTTTTTTGCGTTAGTATTAAACGATTAAATTTTAATAATAAATGTAAAAAAGGAAAAAAAAATTTAATATTTTTTCCTCCCCTTCCCCTGTATTTTTACCACCATTTTTAAAATCGACGCTGCCACCGCTACCACCACCACCGCCACCTGCGCCACTTCCACTGCCTTCGTTATACCACTTTTCGTTTAGGGTAAATTAATTGTCGATCGATTTAACAATCAAAGCCTCCCCAAACGTTAATTTTTTTTTTTAAATAATTTCCTGCCACGATGGGGATTTTTTTTTTTTTGATTTTAAACGTGGAAGGAAAATGTAAACAAAATATTATTATTATTAATTTTTTTTCAATAAATTTTAAAAAAATATTTTTAAAAAAAACCGAAAAATTTAAAAAAGACAAAAAAAAAAATGAATCCGAACGAAAAAAACGATTCGAATAAAACAACCGGCGGCGAATCCCAGCGAAAGGAAAAATGTAAAACAAAATGTGAAACCCCGATTTTTTCCGTCAGAATAAAAACTGAAGATTTTAAAAATGTACCATGTGGGAAGTATAACACCAACACCACCACTACCACCACCAACACAAACGCCAACACCACCAACAACAACACGAACGACGACGATATCCGGAATGCTAAAAAACAGCAACAGCAACAACAACAACAACAACAAAAATCCGAAAATCCCGATAAGGAAATAAATTTAGAAGATGAAAAAATTAGGATAAACGATGAAAAATTAAAAATACTCGAAGAAGAATTAAAAGGAATAAAATTAAAAATGGAATTCGTTCAAAGGTTGAGAAAGGAATGGACGTCGCAAAAATCAGGTTTGTGTAATAGAAGATGGAAGGATCCACCACCACCGCCACCGCCGCAATCGAAATTCGACGATGGTCGACCCAATTGCGATTCCGATACATTTAAAAATGATCCGTAAAACAAAAGGTCCTCGAATCGTTCGATATATCGATCGATCGATCCATCCATCCATCAATCGATTCTATAAATTTTTAATTTTTTTTAGAAATTTTTTTTTAAATAATAAAAAAAAATCCATTCGCCGACCGATTGATTAACCCTTATCACTCTTTCTCTCTCTCTCTCTCTATGGAAAACCGGAAATGTGACGTCATATGAATCGTAGTGACGTCACCAAAGTCTTCTACGTGGCGAGATACCTCCTCCTCCTCATAATTGAATCCCACAAAACGCGGATAATTTTTTTTTTTTTTTTTGAATAAATTTGACTTTTGCTTTTTTTTTTTTGTTTTGGTTGGCAACATTGAAATTTTTAATACAAATGATGAAATAATAATAATAATAATAATAATGATAATGATGATGATGATGATGATTTTCAAACGGAATCTTTAATTTTTTTTTCCTTCGGAACGTATGCGGGTTTAAATTCGCCGGACACTTCGAGTTGTAGGGAAAAATTCAGCGGTCTGTATATGGTGCAGTTACAGGTATAGGGTAGAGCCGTTATGTCCATGGGCCTGTCGGAACATGCACAGTAATTCGTAGGTATGGGAACGGCTGGTAGTAGAGCTAATTCGCTCGCAGTCGGAGATCTCGGTTTTTTTAACGCTTGACCCGTGATTTTAACCGCCGACACTTTATTCTTATCTTTATCAGGTTTTGGCGGCGATTTTTCTTTACCTTTACCTTTTCCTCCTTCTTTTCCTTCTTTTTTTTCTTTTCCTTCTTTTCCTTCTTTTCCTTCTTTTCCTTCTTCTCCTTCCTTTTTTTTACCTTTTCCTTCTCCCTTATCTCCTTTAGGACTTTTTTCAACATCATCATCTTTTTCCGATATTTTTTCTTTCATTCTCGAATATTCCGTCGATACGCGAAATTTTTTTTTCAATTTTTTCAAAGCGCATTTGTGTTCGGTTTTTTCCTGACATTGTCGACACCTGATTTTCCATACATCCGGATCTATGCTCACGTAAATGGCTCCGGGTGTTTCGTAGAGTACGGAAGCGCACACGGGTACAAAACCGTGCGGTGCTTCGTGATTCATTTTTTTTCCTCCTTTTTATTTACCCACTATTATTATTATTATTATTATTATTATTATTTGAAGACAATTATAATAACACTTTTTAATTTATCCTCATCTAAACGTTTACATATGTTTATGTTTTTACATTTCACCAAACATTATAAAAAAAAAAAAAATCTCATTAAAATCTCGGAGGCTTTGAATTTTTCTTATAAGCTAAACATTATTTTCGTTTCCCTTAAATCGGTACCACCGCCATCTTTATTTAATGTTGGCATCCCGTCGTTTATTATCTCTATGACAATTTTATTTATTATTATGTCGTCGTCATCGTCGTCTACTTCTTTTCTTTTTAATTATTAATAAATAAAAAATAATAATAAAAAAATTACAAAAAAATTACAAAAAATTTAAATAAAAATTTTACAAAAAAACAATGAAATAAAAGGAAAAAAGGAAAAAAAAAATTTCACGTTAAATAATAATAATAATAATAAGAAGAAGAAGAAGAATAGAAATGATGATGACGACGCCAACGAAAAAAAAACCTGAAAAACAAAAGGGAAAATTTGAAAATATAAAGAAAACAATAAACGCTGATAACACCAACAGCAACGACAACGTTGACAATAATAATAATAATAATAATAACAATAATAATAATAACAACGTGAAGAATGAGAAAAAAATTTGCAAATGTTTTCTCTTCGATGATTTCCTTCCAAAATATCCGGAAAATGGAATTTTAGGAATGTTTCCGATACCTTCCGTGTGTAAAAAACACGTCGCGCTACATTTATCGAATTTTCAACGGAAATTAATAGACGAATACCGGAAACCTCACGTTAAAGCGACTCTCATCGATCATAAAAACGATTGTGGTGACGACGATCAACTCGATAGAGATATCGATAAAATCGAACGAGATATAAAAAATTTAGAAATGGATTTAGATCATTTCAAACATAAATTTCAAGTTGAAATAATTAAAGAAAAATATCGTCAATAAGACATTCCGACTGTTGTAGCTGTTGTCGCGGTTGTTGCGTTTGTTGTTGTTCCTGTTATTCCTGTTGTTTTGTTTCCTTAAACACAATAAAACCCTTTTTAAAATCCTTTTTTTTTTTTTTTTTACAAAATTTTTTATTATTTAATTAATGATTAACAATAAATTTTTATGTTTTTTTTTTTTTGATGTCATCGCTGTCGCTGTCGTTGCACTTCCGGTTTGTGCTTCATCACCATCACCATCATCATCATCCTTTATCCTTTCCGTAATCATCTACGGAATCGCATGCGTTTTTCTTTTTCGGTACCATTATTCTAAGATTCACATCGATGGGTTTGGGTTTCATTTGTTCGTTGACATATTCCATTATGGCCAATTCTTTTTTACAAAAACCAAATTGCCCGTGTTTCAAGTCGCAATTTAATTGCTGTTGTAATAATTTTTGCTGTTGTACCGGATGATGTTGTAAGGGTGATTTGATAAGGGGTTGGGGTAGTGACGAAACAGCCGGTTGATTTTGTTGATATTGTCGTAGCTGCTGCTGCTGCTGCTGCTGTTGTTGAAGTTGTTGTTGATTTTGATACTGCTGTTGTAGTTGTTGTTGATTTTGATACTGCTGTTGAAGTTGTTGTTGATTTTGATACTGCTGTTGTTGTTGTTGTTGTTGATTTTGACACTGCTGTTGAAGTTGCTGATATTGCCGTTGTTGTTGCTGTTGCTGTTCCAATTCGTTTCCGTTCACGTATTTATCTTTTGATATATTTTTTTTACAATTACAACATTTATTATTATTCGATGACATTTTTTTTTTTTTTTTTTTAAATTTTTATTTACTATCTCGAAAAAAAAGCAAAAATTTTAATCCATTTTAATTATTCCGTATCGAAAAGGCGGTGGAAACGATACTCTATATGATATTTTTTTCCCAGATGTCATAGAGTAATAAAAAAACAACAACAACAAAAATGTTTTTAAAAAAATAAAATAAAAAAATTTCAAAAAAATTATTTGAAAAATTTATAAAAAAAAATAAAAAAAGGAAAAAAAAAGGAAAAAAATTATGAGTTTGTTTTCGCATTCGAAATTTTGTCCCAAGATGACGTGTTGTTGTCCACAACAGCAAGAGCAATTGGGGGATGATAAATGCAAACATAAAAATCACGACAGAGCAATTAAAATATTAAAAAATTTCGATTGTCAAAAAGACAGAGACAAATTTTTCAATTCATCCGACACGAATTTATGGAATAAACAGTACAACGATAATAATAATAATAATAATAATAATGGTTTTTCGTTGAAAGATTGCGATGCGTCGTGGTGTGCAACCGTCGAAGAAACGCAACAATCTATGAGAATGCAAGAAATCGTCATGATACAAATGAGAGATAAATTGTTGATGAATCGATGCAAATTCAAAGCCTCCATTAAACCGAATGAAAAAATTCAAAGGTTGATCGAAGAAAAGAAAAAATGCACCGGAGACATTGAAATCATCGAAGAATTGTTGTGTCAAGTTAAAAAAGAACTCGATTGTACGAAAATGCAATTTGAAAAATATCTAGAAAAAAATAATCAGGAAAACAAACAAAACAAACAAAAATGCGTGTGTCGGTGGTTGTATTCGTCCTCATAAAATAAAAAAGTTTTGTTTCATTTTTAAAAAAATTTTTTTTCATTAATGACGTAATATAAATCAAATCCCATTCTCTATAAGGTATGACGTAATGAGTTAAATGATCTTCCTATTCCCTATTCCCTCCCTTCCCCCTTCCTCCCTTCCCCCCCCCCAAAAAAAAAATTTTTCATGAAGACATTCTGTGTCGTTCTTCGTTTTGTGCAATTTATTCCTTTCGTTACTGTTGTTAACGATGATGATGATAATCGATTTATCGATTTTTCAGGTTTTCGATGTAATAATAATGATAATAATAATAATAATAAATAATTTTTTTTCGTTTGTTTGTTTGTTTGTCAGGACACGAGGACTCACGTCGTTGTCGAACTTTTCGATACGGAAAAATCATACGTCGAATCTTTACAAATAATTGCGAGGGTAAGTTTTTCATTTTTTATCTTTCTCTCTCTCTTTCTTTTTCTCTTCTTCTCTCTCTCTCTGTCTCTCTTTCTTAGCCTGTCTTCCTCACGTTCTCTGTTTTCTTTTCTCTTCCTCTCTCTCTGTCTCTGTTTCTTAGTCTTTTTTCCTCATTTCCTCTCTTTTCTGTTTCCTTCTCTCTTTCTCTCTTTCCTTTTCTCTTCCTTCACTCTCTTTTCAACCCTCTATTTCAGTTCTTTTTTTTCCCTCACTTTCTCACTTTCTCTGTCTCTCTTTTCTTTTCTCTCTCGCTCATTTTCACCATACCACAGTCTCTTTCCCTCTCTTGCTTTCTCTCTCTTCTCCCTCGCCTTCTCTCTCATTTCAACCCTCTCGCTCAGTCTCTCTTTCCCTCCTTCACTATTTCTCTTTCTCTATTTTTTTTCTCTCTCGTTTTCTCTATGTCTTAGCCACTCTTGTTCTCTTTCTTTGTTTCCTTTTCTCTCCGTGTCTCTCTCGCTCATTTCTATCATCTCGCAGTCTCTCTCTCTCTCTCCCTCTCTTTCTCCAAACCAATCCAAATAAAAAGTTCCAACGTACATAGTCTTCAACGGCTTTTCCAATTCACAACAAAATAAAATAAAATATTTTTAATTACTTTTCACAGAAGTACCTGAGACCGTTGAAAAGTCCCGAAAACGTGGGATTAGTCGACACGGTTGTCGTCGACGAAATTTTTTATCAGGTAAAAAAAAAAAAATTTCAAATTTCGACACAAACTAAATTTATGCGCGTGTCAAATTATTATTATCATTAATTTTTTTTTTTCTTGTTTTAAGATTCCATCAATATTAAACCATCACGAAATATTATTGGAAAATTTGAGGAAACGTCTAGAACATTGGGATGTTAGACAAAGTGAGAGAGAGAGAGAGAGAGAGAGAGAATAAAATCAAAAAAAGAGAGAAGAATAATACCAAGAGACGCAGGAAAAGAGGAATGGAAAGAGAGAGTGAGAAAAAATAAAGCGAAATAATAGAAAAAGAAAGAGGTAGGGAGAAGAGAAAGAAAAAGGAGGGTAGGACAGGGGTAGAGGTAGAGAGGTAGGAAAAAAGGAAAAAAAGAAAAGACCAAGAGAGAAAGACAGAAAGCGAAACAAAAAAAGAAACATTCGATAAAGTAATAAAATGCTAACCTAAAAGAGAATTTAAAAAAAAGAAAAAAAAAAGAAGTTAACTAAAGATAAAGAAATAGGAGGAAAAAGAGTTCAAAAGAGAGAGAAAGGAAGAATTGAAAAAGAGCAGACAGAGAGAGAGAGAGAGAGAAAAGAAGAAAACAAAGAAAAAGAGAAAAATAAATAAAAAAAGGCAGTGAAAAATATTAGAAAAAAAAAAAAACAAAAATGAGAGAGATAAAAAGAAAATTGAAGAAAGATAGATAGAGAGAGAGGAAGAGAAAATTGAAGAGAGAGAGAAAATTGTAGCAAAACGAAACCAACTTCGCTACCGTGTTGTCAACCTTCTTCTTTTCCCCACAACCCCAACATACTAACAAGAAAACCTCTTTTAATTTATAAAAAAATTCATAAAATTACACTAGAAATTATCGACTTGATTTTACAAATGATTGATTGATTGATTGATTGATTGACTGACTATCTATCCGATCCATGTCTTTACACATACAAACACCATCAAAACATATTTTCCTTCAACGTCTCTTTTAAAAAAAAGAAAAAAACCCGTTAAATAACAGGCTACTATTTAAGGAAACTTTTAAACGTTTTCCTCCTCCTCCCTTCCCTTCCCCTTCCCTCCCTCCTCCCAATGTTAAATTATTACCTTGACAATAATAATAATAATAATAATAATAATAATTTGAAAACCGTTTTTTTTTTTTTTTATGGTAAACGATTTACTCGGTTACTTTTTTTTTTTTTTTTTTAACGTCCTAACAAACATATTTTAATAATAATTATTATCATTATTATCGATTATAATTAATGCGTTTCGTTTTAACGGAAAAAAAACAAAATCATTCGTACCTGTATATATATATATATATATATAATTATTACCTGGTGTAAACATGTACCTCCGCGTTACATATATATACACCTTTTTGTCTCCTTCATCTCGTTTTCAACCCGATAATTTTTATTATTATTATTATTATTATTATTATTTATTTTAACACGTTGTTCCCTTTTGAATAACGATTTTATAAAATACCAAACGTGTTTTCGACGTCATAATAATAATAATGATTATTTTCGTTTTTTTTATAGGCGATGGCGAGAGAACATAGAGGAAAATTAGCACTCGATTCTCTTATCATAATGCCCGTGCAAAGAATTCCAAGATACGAATTGCTCATACAGGTACTACTACTACCACCACCACAACCGCCATTTTCTTTTTTTTTTCTCTTCGAATATGTATAATTTTTTTGTTTGTGTCATTCGTGTTCAGAGACTCCTCAAACACACGGACTCAAATCATCCGGACTATGCTCTCCTGATGGCCGCACAACATAAAATCCACGAGCTCGCCGTTAAAATAAATTTAACGGAAAGGGAAACGATAGAAATGGAACACCAACAGCAAATATTAAAAGATCTCGAAGCTCTCATAGAGGGTCTCGTGGATTTGACGTCCAACGATCGGACGTTCGTCCGACACGACACCGTGACCATGGCCTCGGGTCAGGGAACGAGAAAAGAGAGAGCATTGTTTTTATTTTCCGATTTGCTCATTATCACAAGTATAAAAAGACGAAGCGGAACGATACGTAAACCTTCCGCGTGAGTTATCACAGCCACCAACCGCCATTTTTCTTTTTTTTCCTCTCCTTTCATACAAACTTTTTTGTTTTTTTTGCAGTACTTGTACTGGAACAACCGTCGCAAGCTCGCTCGATGCAAATAAATATAAATTGCTCATGAGAATTCCAATAGATGATTTAGAAGTAGTCAAAAGTGAGTTAATCGATCGATCCATCGATCAAAGCATTTCCGGTTTTCTTTTTTTTTTTTTTTTTTTTTTTTTTTACAAAAAATAACGGAAATTATTTTTTTTCCCCAATGCGTTTCAGCAGCCAAAGATGATAACGTTAAAAAAATGATGAAAGAAATACAAAAATTATCCGAGGATGTTTGCGTTTTGACACAGATAAGCGATTTGACGTTGACTCTACAATGTCCGCGCACATCCCTCGAAGAAATCGTCAAGGACATGCTTTCAAATGTCAACAAACAATTGGCGGAAAGACAAACGAGCGATTCGCAATTATCGTACCTGGAACTCATGTTGAACACGCAGTTCGTATATAGAATTTCTTTTTTTTTTTTCTTTTTCTTACTCCCCATGAGAATTTTGTACAAAAAAAAATTTGTTTCTGTTCTTCTCAGGCACGGTATGGAAAACGTTTCCGTTGTTTTTACAAAACCGGAAAAAAGATCGAGTTGGGAAGAATCATTCAACGATTGTAAACAAAAATTGGGTAAAATTTTCATTCTTCTCTTTCTCCACATCTATCCTCACGACGCATCGTTTGTTTGATCATTTTCCGTTTCCGTTTTTCGTTTCCAGCGCTATCTGCCGATCGGAAACCTTCACCCGAATTTATGGCTTCCGTTCCGATACGTAAAACAAGAGCGGGTTTACAATTTACGTGTGCAGCTCCGACTCTCGGTTTGAACGCTTTCAATCTTCGAGATGTTTGGGTTTGCAACTCCGACGGTTACGTCGGACAAGTTTGCGTTTTAAGCCTTCAACCTGAACCGACTGTGACGTCATGTAACGGAGTGTGCAACGCTAGACTTTTATGCATAGCCTCGATTCCGGCGGGTGTCACCAAGTGAGTCCAAAACAAACAAACAAACAAACAAACAAATTACATTTTTTTAAATATAAATTAATGAAAATTTGTTACCCCTCACACGCCCCTCCTCCCCGGCGTATAGGTTATCGAAAAACGTACAAAAAAAATCAGATGTGGAGTCTGACGTGTCTTCAGGAGTCGAAGAACACTCTGATAAAAGTAGAAGCGTCGAACTCATAAGCAGTTCGAGTAGCGACGAAGATGATGACGATGCCAACAAAGAATTTTTCGGTGATTTTTCAATTTTTTTTTTCTTTTTCAATTTGGCGGGAAAATAATAATAAAAAAAAAATTTTTATTCCACAGCGAGAAGATCAAAATCCGAACCTTTGAGTACCACAGAAACGGGAGAAGGAGGAATCGAAGATGCGGAAAATCAACAGCCTACCATGTGGTTGGGAACAGAAGATGGAAACATACACGTGTATTTATGTTCGGATAACATAAGGATAAAAAAGAACAAAGTTAAAATACAGCACACAAGTTCAGTTCAATCAATTATGTGAGTTTGAATTTTCCCCCCACGCCCCCGAAAAAGAAAAACGTGGAAGAAGAAAATAAATTTTTGTAATAATAATAATCGTTTCAGATATTTAGACAACAGAGTTTTCGTGTCACTTTCGAATGGCGACATAATCGTTTACTCGAGAGATCAGGGTAAGTTCAAAACGTCGGTTTTTTTCCCCCACCGGTCACGTGACCCAATTCTAATAATGGCGTCTCGTTAAATGTTTTGTCCAGCAGGTGGATGGAACACGTCGAATCCGAGTACGATAACCGTCGGTACTCCGAATGCTCCCGTAAATAAAATGACACCCGTCGATGGAAAACTTTGGTGCGGTTGTCACAACAACATAAAAATATTAAACACGAATCCGTTACAAATTGAAGTTAGATTTTTGTACATTTCCGACATTTTCTTTTTTTTTAATCATTTAATTACTTTAATTATTTCCGTCTTTCTTCTATTTTAAAGCATTCATTCCAAGCAAGCACGGACGGATTAAAAATCGTCACAGGTATGGCCGTTTCCGGTTTCGGCGTTTGGATTTCTCTACAAAATTCTGCCGTCATTAAATTATTTCATTCTGTGACGTATGAAAATTTATGCGATGTTAACGTGGCACCATCCGTAACGAAAATGCTCGCGGGTTAGTTTTGCTTCTTCTTCTTCTACCACCCGATGACATTCTTCGATAACTGATAATGATAATTATTATAATTTTCCTTTCAGGTTGCGACGATATAATACGTCAGCACAAAGCAGCTTGTCTTAGAGTGACGTCATTACTCGCTTGCAAGGATCTTTTGTGGATAGGTACAAGCGCGGGAGTCGTTTTAAACATGACGATTCCTCACATATCCATGTCGACGACAAAACTGACATCGGTGCCAAACGTGACAGGTCGATAATAATAATAATAATAATAATAATAATCACACATTTGATAATGGAAAAAGAAAAAGAAAAAAATTAAAGGGAAATTTGTTTGTTTTTTTTAGGAGTTCCACACGGACACACGGGTCACGTGAGATTTTTAACGTGCGTCGAAACAACCGGAAATCCAAAACAAACGGATAATTCGATCAAACATAATTCTAACAACAGCACCGCGAGAAAACAACACCACAACATCAAGAATAAAATGGATTCGCAATTGGGTGGTGGCGGTGGCGGTGGTTGTGGGGGTGGCGGTGGCCCCTCGAAAATGTTGGTCATAAGCGGAGGTGACGGTTACGAAGATTTTCGTAATTCGAACACGTCCGAAGTTGCCGGAAGAGAAGATTCGACGAATCATTTGTTGCTCTGGCAAATTTAAATTGAGAATTTATAATAGGCTAATCCTAATAAAACGAACGAAACACATTGTCGTACGACAGCAAATGCCACAAAAAATGATTGAATGAAAGAGAGAGAGAGAAAGACAGTGAGAGAGAGAGAGAGAGAGAAAAGAAAATTTTTCTTCCTTTCATCATCATCATCATCATCATCCTAGCACTCCTCCACTTTCTTCTTTTCCTTTTTTTCTTAACCCCTAACCTTTCCTTCTCTTTAACTCGAATCCATTAAAATAACAACAACAATAATAATAATAATAATAATAACAAATTTTCTGTGATTGATTGAATGATTGATTGATTGATCGATTGATTGTTGATTGAATAAATAAATAAATTATTAATTAGCCTAATTAAATGGATCTCAATTGATTTATTAAATACGGCAAAATACATATACATATATACATATTAATTATTATTATTATCATTATTATTATTATTATTATCATTATTGTAATTTAGATGTAAAAGTGCTTATTTAAAAAAAAAAAAAAAAAAAAAAAAAAAACAAACGACTGTCAAAATATAATAAAAATATTATTTATTATCATTATTACTGTTATTAATTTTTTGTAAAAAATTTTAAGTGCCAACATTGAAAAAAGAAAAAAAATTGTTTTTTTACTCTATGATAATCACGTAAAAAATTAATATTTAGAATGATTGGGTTGGTGTGAAATAGTTCGACGACGATGATGATGACGTCGATGGTATTTCTTTTAAACGTCATCATCATCATCATTATCATCATCATCATTATCATCATCATCATCATCATTATTATTCTTATTCTTATTATTATTATTATTATTTAAATTTTGTATTTCTCGTACGTGAGCGGGTAAAAAAAAAAATTTTCTCAGAATGTTTTTATGTAAATAATTTTCAAGAAAACCTAGTCAAATTCGTCGGTGAAATTGATTCGTGACGTCACGCATACAAAGAAACATTTTTTTTTAATAAAACGGAAACGATGACGTAATTTGACAATTTTTTAAAAAAATTCCTATTGGTTGGATATAATGACGTTTTCCGTTTTCAATTTTTTTTTAAATTGAACGAAACATCGCGAAAAGGAAAAAATAAAATAAAATTTTTATTTTTGCGTGCGTGAGTGCGTACGTGCGTGAGTGTGTGCGTACGTGCGTATGGATTCCTATCGTTTTACCGATACCGAAACCGGTAAATTTATCTTTAGGCGATTTATTGCAAAAAAAAAAAAAAAAAAAAAGAAAAATTTTTTTGTCTGATAATATTGTTTGTACGGATGATTTCGGATGCTGGTTCACCTCTTAATAATTATACGGTTAACAAAATATTCGAAAATTTTATTGATGACGTTGACGTTTGTTAAATTAATAAAAAAAAAAAAAAGCAAAATGGCGGAAATGTTTTTCGTACGATAATGATCCTGTTATTTTTATATGACGAATAAAAATTTTTCAAATGGTTACATTTACCTCTTTCACCTCTCTCACTCTGTCTCTGTACCTTTTTCTCTCCCTCTCGCTTTTTCTTCCTCTCCTTTATCTATCTCTCTCTCTCTGTCTCTTTCTCTTTGATTTTTCTTTTTTTTCTGCTTCTCTCTCTTTCACAATACATCTTTACCATTTTCTCTTTTTAATTCTACTTTTATTTCTTTCCTCTCATTCTTTCTCTCTCTTTTTCAGCTTCATCTTCATTTTTTTCTGTCTCTCTCCCTCTCTTTCTAACTTAATGCTTCACCTTTCTACTTCTTTTCTCTTTCCTTCTCAACCCCTGCTTTCCATTTCTCTTTATATCTTCCTTTCTCTTTCACTCTCTCTCTCTCTCTCTCTCTTATTGTTTCCACCTCTCCTTCCTCCTCTTCCCCTTCAAGTACAATCAATCGTCTCTGGAAAAATGGGTTACGTAATAAAAAACTTGTTCGATTTTTTTTTTTTTTTTTCGAACTCTAAATCTCATTAAGTGGAAGAACGTTTTTTTTTTTTTTTTGTTCAAACGGATTCCACTCTCGACGTCATAAATTTAATAATAATAATAATAATAATAATAATAATAAAGCGTTTCGATTTCGATTTTTTTTTTCATCGACATCCGGTTTTTTTTTAAAGCTAGGTCAAATATTTAACGAATAAAAAAAAAAGAAAAAAAGAAATTATTAATAATAATAATAATAATAAAATTAAAACGTCATCCTTTTTATTATTATTATTATTATTATCAATTACGCGAAAACGAAAAGAAATAATAATGATGATGATAAACCGAAGAAAAAAATTTTTTTTATATATTTTTTACACGACTTGAAATTTTTACTAAAAGAAAAGGAAAAATTATTATTATTATTACTTTTACGTTTATTACGATGATACAGCAATCGTAAACTTTTTGGACAAAAGAGAGATGATGATAATAATAATAATAATAATAATAATAACAGCAAAAGGAGTAGTAAAAAATTTAATTAAGTTTTAGTATGTCGTTTTTAAATTGATTTAAAATCAAATCGATAAGTCAAAAAAAAAATCACGAATTTAATCGTAAACTCTCTTCCCACACACTCAATTTATTATTATTATTATTATTATTATCATTATCATCATCTCGCAACGAATTCTTTTTTTACGCAAAATGCGTGTCTATCAATGCGTGTGTCAACTTTGAATCCATTCGATGGTTGTTCGTTTGTTCGATTGTGCAATTGTGACTGACGAATGTTTAAAAACTTTCACTTTTTATTATTATTATTAAATTGAATTGTAATAAATAATAACAAATCCATCAATTATTATTATTATTATTAATATGATTTTTTAATCGATTAATAATAATAATAATGATAATTACGTAAAAAATTTGAAACGCGATTTGAATAATAATAACAGTATAATAATACTCATTGGTAGCGTGAACGAATTTTTAAACTCACGTCAGTGCTACCAACTTTTGTGTTTGTTTTTTTTCTTCCTTTTTTTACGAAGGGGAGGGCAGGAAAAGGAAAGGTTAAAGTTTAAAGGATCGGTAAATTTAGTAGAGTAAAAAAAAAAAAAAAAAAAAAAAACGCGAGCGGGTATTTTATCGAAAATAATAAAAGAAAATCGATTTTTTTCCTACTCGCATCAGTGCTGCCATTTTTTTCCCTTTTTTTTTTTTAAAAGGTTTAAATCCATAGAGTAAAAAAAACAAAAGCTTTTCACACCAATATCTAGTTGAAAAATAATAATAATAATAATAATAAACAATTTTTTTCCTACTCGCGTCGGTGTTGCCAACTTTTATTTCAATTTTTCTTTCTGAAGGGAGAGAAAAAAAATTGAAATTCATAGAGTAAAAAAAGAAACATTTTCAAGACAATAGCGAGTTAAAATTTATCAAAGAATAATAATTTTTATTGAAACCACAGTGTTGCCAACTTTCTTTTTTTTTCTTAAGCGGGACAAAAAGTTTAAATCCATAGAGTAAAAAGAAAAACCCTTTCACGCCAATAACGAGTTAAAAAATATTCATAGAAAGCAATTTTTTTTTTTTACATTCGTCAATGCAACCAACTTTTGTTTTTTTTTTCTCTCTTTTTCTAATTTAGACAAAAGGGGAAAATTTCATAGAGTAAAAAAAAAAGGAAAATAAAGAAAGAAAAGAAAGAAAAGAAAAAAATTTTAACCGTCAAACGATTCCCAAGCGAAAAAAATAATCTACGATTTTAATACTTATTATTTGCATTTAAAAACAAAAACGAATCGAATCGAATCGATATCGATATCGAAGAGATAATAATAATAATAATTATTATTATTATTATTATCGAAATATTCATTTTCAAAAAATAAAAATAAAAAATTGGAAAAATGAATTTATTAGAAGAAAAAAAAAAGAATGAATATTATTATTATTATTATTATTATTTAAAAAGGTGAAGAAGAAAACTCGATAGCAGACGACAAGAACACAAGGAAAACATGATAAAAACAAAAAAACCGGGGCGAACGACGGATTTCGTTAATTAATGAAAAAAAAAAAAAACCCACCGTTGACGACGCGCGTATCCTCAATAAACTTTAACGTGTTTCTGGATAAATGACCGTTTGGGGGGTCAAAGTTCAAATTCAATTGCATTTCAACATTGTTAATTACTACTACGTTAAATTTGAAATTTATTATATATTGCCGCAAAGGTGAGTGAGTAAGTCTCGCATAACAAAACAACAACAATAATAATAATAAGAACCGAAAAAAAAAAAATTTAAAACGCTTAAATATTTATTTATTTAACGTGTCAATAGAATAATAATGAATTAAACGACGACCGCAACGTTTCCATTTCGCAAAAATAATAATAATAATAATAATAATGAAACACGATTTTTTGCGTACGTGCAACTTGTCGCAAACTCAATGGTTCGCAAAACCAATGGCAGGCAAATCAATAACTTTTTTTTTTTTTTTATTGGCAAATCAAAATTTTTTTTTTTTTTTTTCCTATCGATTGGTTCGATTGGAATTTAATGACGTCATTAAATTTCCATTCGTTTTGTAATAATATTTTAAATAAATAATTTAATATGGTTTAAAAAAAAAAAAAATCACGAATATAAAAAATAATAAAAATCCTTATTGCGTATTTATTATTATTATTATTATTTAATTATTTTTTTATTTATTTATTACCGGTAATTAAAATTACTTTTTATCGTGGCAGAAGAAGAAGAGAAAAAGAAAATTTTCACTACTCGCGCGTTTAAAAAAAAATTCAAGAAAGAATTGAAAGCCTGAGACGTAAATATTTATTTAAAAAAAAAAAAAAATGGAAAAATTATTATTAAATTAGTGCAAAAATAAATAAATAAATAAATTATAAACAAAATGATCGTTTATTATTATTATCATTATCATTATTATTGTTATTTTTAAATTTTTTAGCAGTCTAAACAACATAAATAATAAAAGCAGAAGAAAAAAAAAAAGAAAACGATTTTACTCAAATTTTTTTCTTTAAATTTAATTTGGTTCTTTTGAACCACCCACCGCCCCCTCTTCCTCTCCCACTCACTCCCTTCTTAAACCCCCTCCCTCCTCTTTTCTTCTTCGGGCCTCCTTCCTTTCCCGACCCTCCCCCCACACGCCTTCCAATTTTAAAATTCCAAATGGAAAAAAAGGAAAAAAATTTTGTTTAAAGGGATTGATTATTCTTTTAAACGATGACGTCATAAAATTATGATAATAATAATAATAATAGCGAAACGTTTCATCGTGATTTTAAGAGCCGCCATTTTTTTTTCTTTTTTTTTTTTTTAACAATAATAATAATAAAAGATTTGAAAAAAAAAGTGCGCGTGTGAATTTTTCTCACGATGGTTTGACGTCACGTCAAATATTCGACAAAGAATTACGATTCTAATAATAATAATAATAATAATGATGATGATGATGATGATGATGATGATGATGATGATGATGATGATGATGATGATGATGATGATGATGATGATGATGATAAAAAAACAAAATCAGGGCTCTTGCGACGACTTTGAAACTACGAGAAGGTTATTATTATATACTTAAAATCCGTCAATCACAATCGGAAACAATTGAGAGTTTATAATTTCCGGTTGTCCGACGAGATTGGCGAAACATGATCATTAATTATTATGACAGTCGCGAGAATGAAATGGAATAGTCAATGAATGAATGATACGATCGATCGCATTCCACGACGACAGCGGGTCCATGCGGGGTTTAGAAGAAATGGTGTAATCATCACCGTACCGGAGGGAAAAAACAAAAAAAAAAAAAAACCTCCCGAGACAGACAAAAAAAAGGGAACAAAAGGGAACGTTGAAAAAGTCGTGGAACAAACCACCGGACGTGTCATTAACTGGAATGCAATTTGAAAATGTACTTCGTTTGTGCACACAATACGATTCCATCAACGTGGAACTTGGAAAAAAAAAAAAACAGACAAAATTTTAACAACAACAACAACAACCACCTATGAAACCTACGAAACGATAATAATAATGATAATGATAATGATAATAATGATAATAATAATAATAATTTTTTTTTAAATTAAAAAATCATAAAACGTCATTTTGAAAAAAATTTTTTTTTTTTTTTTTAACAAAAGACGCGTGCCAAAGTTATTTTTTTTCAATAAAAAAAATTTTTTTTTTTTTTTTGTTCGTTGACGTTTCCCTTAGATATCGTCGTGGCATTAGTTTTATTTTCATATAATTTAAAAAAAAAAAAAAAAGCAAAAAAAAAACAAAGAAAAAAAAGTTTGCAAATCGAACATTTTCATTTTTTTTTTTTTTTTTGGAAAACGTATTAGTAATAATGATAATAATAATAATAATCGTTAAACGAATAAATAAATTAAATGTCGGACAAACAACAAACAAACAAACAAACACAAAACGAGCAAACGATGGTTCAATGAGCAATAATTTAAATCCTATAAAAAAAAATGAATGCAGTTGCTGACACTTTTAAAATCAGACATTTTCAATAAATATTTTTAGATGTTAACAAAAAAAAAAAAAAAAAAAAGTTAAATAATAAACAAAAAAATTATTTTTATAAATAATTTTCTTTTAAAAGGTTGTATCGAATCAGAAAAAAAAACACGCGAGACGTGGAAGAAGAAAAATTTGAAAATTCATCATCATTCGCGAATGTATTTCTAATAAGAATAAAAAATTTAATATGGCGTCTTTTTCTCGACAAATGTTTTTTATTTCTTAAAAATTTTCGACAAATATACACAATTCAATTAAATAACAACAACAGAAACAACAGAAACAAACACAACAATTAATGAATGAACTCGCGCACGAACGCACATCAGTAAAAACAAAAAAAAAGCTGCAACCAATTAAGGGGGAGAAATTTCGATTTTATGACGTCACTATCAGAAAAATTAAAATAATTTGCAAACGAAATCTTCGAATTTGAATTTTGTTTGTTGATGCTGTTGCTGTTGGTATTTCAATTAATATTAATAATAATAATAATAACTCGTGATCGATCGATCGAAGAGGCGTTCCTACTTTTTTTTTAAAAAGTCAATTACGAACAAACGACAAACAATTAAATGTACGTCATTGGAGCAAAATGTTTTTCTTTTATTTTTTTTGCCTACGTGATTGGCAACACTTAAACATCCGAAAGTGAAAATTTGCACGTACGCAATGTTGTGGGCGTTATTGCCATTTGAGGATTCGCTAAAACAAACGAACGAACGAACAAACAATCAAACAAACAAAATAACTTACACATAATAATAATAATTTATTATCACATTGATTTTTTATTTCGCGAGCGTGTGTGTGCTTATTATTATTATTATTATTATTATTATTATTATTATTATTATTATGAATACATTTTCTTTGAAATCTAACAGACGACGACGACGGCAACAAACAAACAAACAAACGGAAAATGAAAAGAAAAGTTCAAAATACTCTTTACCATATCCGAACAATCGAAATTATTTTATTTTATTTTTTTTTCGAAAATAATATCGTATTAACACCACTTATAAAAGAGACGACAACGACAACAACGACGACAACGACAACAACGACAACAACGACAACAACAACAACGACAACGACAAACGAAAGAAAAAAAAATACAAAAAAATTTTATAATTAAAGAACTCGATTGTTTGTCGGGGAAAAAGACAAAAAAAAAAAGAAGAAAAAAAAATTTTTTTTTTCTTTTTTTTCAAAAAGTCACCTTTAAAATTATTTAATTTAAAAAAAAAAAAAAAAAAATTTGAGTTGGTAGCCATTAAAAATAAAATAAATAAATTTTCGTCTGCTACCACGTTACCGAAAAAAAAAAAAATTTTTTTTCGATTTTATCTCTTATTAAATTATAAGTAAACCGTATTAAATTTTGGCAACTTTGATTAAAAAAAAAAAAAAAAATTTTTTTTTTTCCTATATCCCTGCCGTTCCCGTTTGTTCCCGTTTGTTCCTGTTTCTTTCCCTTCATTTCCGTTTTTTATTAACAATAAATAATCCAGAAAGTGTAAATTTTTTTAGAAAAAAAAACAACGAATTTTATTTAGATTCTTATTATAACCAATAATAAGAAAATTTTTTTTTTTAAGGTTGGTGTTGACAAAAAAGAGAGAGAGAGAGAGAAAAAAAATAGAAAAAGAGAGTAAGCGAGAGTGAGAGTGAGTGAGAGAGAGAGAGAGAGAGAGAAAACAAGGTGACATCATTAATAAATTAAAAAAAAAAAAAAAAAAACCCTATTTAATCGCGAGGAGGCAAATCGCCGTGCACAGAAATAATAAAAAACGATTTCGTGTTGAGACCGTGTGTGTGTGTGTGTGTATTGGTTAGTAGTGAGTTGTTGTTGTTGTTGTTGTTGTTGTTTTTGATGTTGATGTTGTTGGTGTTGTTGTTGCAGTGTCCTCGCGGCAACCGAACCATCCGGCTCGCGCGTTTATTATCCTTCCTTATTCAATCTCGTATATAAATATTTAAATGTTTCGTGTTTGTTATTCACGAACTCTCCGTTAAATTTTTTTTTTTTTTTAAAAAAAAAAGCTTCGTTCGTTGCAAATAGCGGTGTTTGAGGGTGCGCGCGTGTATGTGCGTGCGTGAGTGAGTGAGTGCGTGCGTGTGCGTGTGTGTGTGTGCGTGCGTGTGTAAAACTTACGATCGGTCGGTCGGTCGGTCGTTTGTCTAGTATCAATCAGTACACCCGGTGTGCTCTCTCAGTTTGCGTTTAACACACTACGACAACCTTTTTTATTTAATTTAATTTAATTTAAATTTAATTTAAATTTTTTTTTTTTTTTAATCGTTTTATTATTATTATTATTTAACGTTTTTTTTTTTTTTTAAATTGTTTGTTTTTTGTGTTGTGTTGTAAACATGGTGTAAAAAAAAAAAAAAAAAAAAAAAAAATTAAAGTGAAATTCGAATTTAAATTTAAAAAAACTATGAGGTGATATAAAGTCATTGACTTTCGGATTATTATTATTTTTTTTTTTTTTTTGACGAATTGGCAAGCAAGGAATAAAATAATAATAATAATAATAACGTTCCTTAAATAAATACAAAAGGAAAACGATCATTTTCTTACTCCACGATTTTTTAAATTTAATTTAATTTTTCGATATGAAAAATTATCATTATTATTATTATAAAAAATCGTACGCATGTTCAGGTACAGTTTCCATCCGATAATAATAATAATAATATAAAGTTTATTTTTTTTCGATAGAGTGTGTGTGCGCGCGCGTTTTAAAAATATAAAAAATATCGAATGATAAGAGGAAAAATTGATAAGAGAGAGAAAGAGAGAGAGAAAATTGATCGATCGTGGTCGTGGTGGTGGTGGTGGTGAGTGCGCGGCGGTCGGATGAACCTGCGATGGGTTCCTGACTGCTGAAAGCAGTCATGTTGAAAGCTTTTCCTCTTGGAATCAAAGTACCCGCATTACTGGCGCTGTTTGCCCTTGTGCTGGCTCGACCCTTACATTTCGACATTGTTCTACCGCAAAACTCGAATCCCGCCGCCGTCGACCCTCCTTTTCTCCCCGCCGACGAGGGAACGGTTCGAAGTGAACGCAGCGCCAACATTTCCCACATAATCGGAGTCTCCCGGAAAATTCAACTCATCGTCAATAAAATTATGTATTTGCAAATATCGCCCGATGGAAGCGTCAACGGTACAGATAACGACAACGATTACAGTAAGTTTTCTATTATTATTATTATCATTATCATTAATATTTTTAACCGTAGCAAAAAATTTTCCTCTCTCTCTCTTTCTCCCCTCATTCGTAAACAAATTCCCAACATTTTTTTTTAAACCGTAAATTTACGTAATAATTACGAAAAAATTTCCATTTTTTTTTGCACATTTGCGCCAGCAAAAAAATTTTACATTGACGACAGCAAAAAAAAAAAAATTAATGAAATGCATTTTTAACGATCGAATTTAAAAATTACTTAATTCGAATAAAAAAAAATTTTCCTAACGACCGATAATAATTTTATTTAAAACACAACGCGTGATACTTTAAAATATTATTATTATTTAATTAAACTATTATTATTATTATTATTTTTCTTTTTCCGTGCCTGGTTCCGCACCTGATTTTTATAAAAATTCCTTATTTTTACTCATATTTATGTATATATTGAGGATAACGATGTTGTTCCATCAACCATAATTATGTTTTTATTAAAACAAGGAACGCAGGCGAACAACATCGTTTTAATTGTTTTTTCTTACCCCCCGCCCCGCCCCGCCGCGCCCCGTTTTTTTCTCGGCTAATTCCACGTCGTTTCATCCCCTCCTCTCACCTTCCCTCCTTTCCTCCCTCCCCTAATAATTGCACAAACTTTTGCGTCAAACGACAAAATTATACTTAAATTAACGGAAAAAAAAATGTTTTTTTTTTTTTTTATACGACTCGAACCTGAACTGCATTTAATCTACGTTAACCATAATAATGATAATGATAATAATGATGATGATGATGATGATGATGATGATGATGATATAAAACATAACAGACGACGTCACTCACACTGACAGTCGGTTATTGTTATATAAATAATTTACAGCTGTTAAAAAAATATTTTTTTTTCCCTGCCAAAAATTTTTTTTTCTGCATTCGTCTTTTTTTTCGTTTTTTTTCGTGTCGGCCATTTTGATTTTTAACTCGTCGTCTCGTCCTTATTTTAATTCATTATTATTATTATTATTATTATTATTATCATCATCATCATCAGGTTAATGAAGAATTAATCGTCATTGACAATCCATATATGTAAAAATCAAATATCGATTATCCCTCTCTCTCTCTCTCTCTCTCTCTCTTTCTCTCAATCTTAAAACCTGGATATTTGCTATTATTATTATTATCATTATCATCATTATTATTGATAAGAGTTTGGTTTTTTTTTATTAATTAATGTCCGTGACCGAGTGAGTTTTTTTTTTTTTTGTAATACGAATCTTTGTAAAAATGAAACGAACAAAGTTTTTTTTGGAAAAACGTCCTTTCTTTACTTCTTTCTCGATAACCTTCTTCTCCAGATTATCCAGTTCGTTATCAATCTCTCTTTCTCTCTCTCACTCCCTCTCTCTCTCGCACTCCTTTGATTCATTATCCTTCGTACGATTAAACATTTCCTTTCATAAATCAATATACTTTTCCTTTTCGAAAAGGAAAATTTTACGATCGAGAAAATTTCCTCATAATAATAATAATAATTTTTATTAAAATTAAATTCGCTTCCGTCTCTATCCGTTTAAATTTCCCCATGCACCCCCCCCCCCAACGACTTGTTTACATTGAAATTTTTTTAACGTGTAAGCAGAATAATAATAAATTTCAATTTCAATTTTTTTTTTTTTTTTACTTTCAAAAGCTTTCTGCACGAAATTATCATTTACGTGTAATCGTCGGGGGGGGGGGGGAGAAAGGGAGGGAAAAACCACGAGCGATAATTAAAATCATTTCAAACGACCACATTAATTATTAATAATATAAATAATAATAATAAATATTATTTAAATAAATTTCGAATAAATTTTAATCAATGATGATGATTATGATGATTGTTCACACCGTAGTAAAGTCGTGTAAATAACACGAAAAAAAAAAACCTTTAGGGAATCGATCAATCGATCGATCGATCGATCGATTTATTGATTTATTGATCGATTGATCATAAGCGCAAAAAAAAAAAAATTTTTAAATGGCGATCGCGTTTTTAATAATTGAAGATAATATAAATTCATAAAGATTCAACGGATTCCTGATCGCGATAAGATACATGACGAGTTCAACCGGAAATAGTTGCGTAAACCGTCGATATTAATTAAAACAAAAAAACCGGAAGAAAGGTTTTTTTTTTTAATCTATCGACGATGTATAAAATCCTACGGGATATTAAAAATTAAGAAAAAAAAAAAAGAAGGGGGAAATAATCGCATAAATAATAATAATAATAATTATCATCATTTAATTCCCTTTCCGTGTTAATTTTTCTCTTTTCAATATGTCGAACCCTCCATTTTTATTTAACTATTAATCGTCCGTAACGAATTCTTTTTATACTTTGGGAAAAAAAAAAAAAAAAAAAAAAAATTTCCTTCTAGATTTTTCGACGGATCAAGGTCGTTTGACGATGTCGAACGAACCTAATCTACCGTTTTTCCTTCCATTTTAGTATAATATTCGTAATAGAATGATTACGCGTATAAAATATTTTTTTTCTCTCTCTCGTGACCTTTGACTTCCAGATGGTACAGAAATAATTTTTTATGTATATATATATATATGGTGAGTTTTTTACGATGGCGTCGGAGGGGAAAAAAAAAAAAAAATTAACAAGGATTTGTTTCTTCGCGGAGTGATAAATGAATGATGATGATGATGATGATAATGATAATAATAATAATAATAATAATTAATAATAATAAAGTCGTTTATGCATGTGCATTTTTTTTTCTTTTTCATACCCCCTATGTGGGCCACCAGCGTCTGATGTTAACTTTCGGGAATTTATTTATATTACATAAGAACGAACGTGAGAACGTGCGAAAGTATTCAATAATAATAATAATAATAATAATAATAATAATAATAATAATAATAATTTACCCAAATTTTTTTTTACCCTGTCCGATTTCTAATTTTAATTAAACATTCGTTCTCATTCTTTTTTTTTTTTTTTTTAATTTGTTACCCACTCATTATTTTTGCCAAATCCTTTTAAAAAAAAAAAAAAAAAAATTCCTCCCAACGGTTTATTAATAAATTTGACCCCTCCTTGTCGTCGTCGTCGTCGTCGACGACGTCGACATCGTAGGTCGAACAATTAAAAAAAAAAAGAAAAAAAAAAAATTTTTTTTTCGATTATTTTTTTTTTTTTTTTTTGTAAATTACTCGAAAACTTGTATGAAATTTTTTTTTTTATTATTGATTGAATAATAACTTGTTTGTTTGTTTGTTTGTTTGTTGTAGTTACACTTGTTTGTTGTTGTTGTTTGTGTGTATGTGTGCAACCGTAAAAAATTATAAAAAACCTGTATATATATGTTAAACTCACACGCGCGCGACGCTATAAAATGAGGATTTCGTCCGACAAATATAAAATTATCCCCCCCCCTCTCCCCTCCTCCTCCTCCTTGCCCTCCTTGTCAAATTAAATTATTATTATTATTATTATTAATTACGTTATTACTCCCTCTCCCTCTCCCGTTACGTAAATGATAAAATCCTGAGACATATTTTTTTTGAAAATTTCAAACGAGTGACACTTTTCCCCGTATTAAAAAAACAAAACGAATGTCATAGAGTGTATAAACGTCATTTAATAAATAACGATACGTTTTTCATTTTTTTATAATCACGATTTGAAAAATAAAAACAAACGAAATGTTTGTATTTTTTTGAAAATTATGTAATAAAATAAAAACCGCGTAAATCAAAATGTTTTTTTTTTTTTTTTTAAATGCCACCATTTTGTTTTTATTTATTTATAAATAATAATAATAATAATAATAATAAAAATATAAATTGATTTAAAGTGACAGCTAATTCGTCAACAAAATTAATAAATAATAAATAAAATAAAAAAAAAAATTGTTTGACATGTTTTTTTTTTTTTAATTAAAATTAGTGAAAGAAAGAGAGAGTGAAAGAGAAAGAGAGAAAAAGAGAAAAAATAGAAAGAGAGAGAGGGAGAGAGTGAAAGAGAGAGAAATTTAAAAATGGCGACCGCTTAAATGATATTTCAAATAAAAAAATCATCATCCGGAAATGAATAAACGTGAAAAAATCAACTTAAACTCCTTCCGGTAAGAATCATTGTGCGTGCGTGCCCGTGAATTTTTCCCTTTTTTTTTTTTTCTCGGGGAGAAGAGGCAAAAGAAGGGGGGGGGGAATTTTTTTATTAAAATCTATCACGAACTAGAAAATAGACGTTAATTGATAATTTGACGTCAACCCCCCCTGGGGGGACAAAACTAGAGAAATCAGGTTCTCACCCGAAATTTTTTTTTTTTTTTCGTTAACGATAATGGCGCGCAATGTAATAATAATAATAATAAAAATTCAATTTGAGACTTGAAATTTTGTGTCCGAAACACACACCCCGGGGGCCATTTAATGACCCGCCGAGTACCTGTTTTTTTTTTCTCCCCCTTCCCCCTTTAAAACCGTGCCCGTTTTTTTTCAATTTTTCGTTTTCGATGACCGGATATCGATTGAGGAAAAAATTTTTTTTCCTTTTTCGATCTGTAATAAAAGTGGGGGGAAGTAACAAAAAAAAAATTAAACCAAATCCCCCTATTAATAAATACATCTGTGACGTCATTTTCAACAAATCACAAAAATTGATTCCAAAACATTTATTATTTTAAAAAAAAAAACCATCGTCGCGAGTCGGAAACAACAACAACAACAACAATAAAATAAAAAACCTTTTAAACAAAAAGAAAAACAACATAAAACATAAAACATAAAACATTAAACGCTAAAAACATTATAAAACATTTATTTTAAACAGAGAGAGAAAGAAAGAGAGAGAGAGAGAGAGAATGAATTAAACACCTAATAAAATAAAAAATCGTTAAAATCGATAATGAAAGTAATGAATTTAACAATGAATTAACTCTAATCGTTATATATATATTTAAAAAACAAAATGGCTGACGGCAAATTTTTAAAATTTAAAATTTTAGTTTTTATTCTCAAAAAAAAAAAAAAATTAATTATGTCGAAATTATCTTATTATTATTATTATACCTTCTTCGCTCAAATTTTTTTTCTCTTAAATAAATAAAAATAAAAATTTTTTTTTATATCGACGATTAATTAACGTGTCAGAAAATTTTATTATTTAAAAAAAAAAAAAAAAATTTTTTACCGCTTCATATTAATAATAATAATAAAATATTTTTATTAATTTAAATTTTTTTTTA